TAGGAACTCATCTATTACCTTGTGTAGTACACCAGAAAAAGTTACTCACGCTAACACTCCATTTAATTTAATCATCTAGGACTGAAGGAGAACCAGAATTGCCTCGTGGCTGAATTTAAGAGTCTTTTGAACTACGCCAGTTAAACAGAATTTGCTCACAGAACTGCCTCCTGCTACCGGGGAACATTTAAGCCCTGTAGTCTGAAGTAAAAAGTGCTTTTAAAATGTATCTAGGACAGTGTTCTGCTGCACTTTCTTATATATAAAGTGATTACCAATATAAGATTTTTTTTTGCCTGGTGGACACCAATTTCAGGTAAAGCATTTGCTGATGGAATCAGCCTCCCAGATAAATGCATTAACTGCCTACAGGATCAAGCTTTAGGTTTTGGTGTGGGTGGCAGACAGAAGGCCTGTTTTGCAAGGCAAGCTATTTCTGTAGCTACAGCCACACCAAACTGAAAGCACTCAAATCTCACAAGCTAAGCTGTCCCAGACCCAGTCACACTATTTGCACAGGGACCACCTGGGAATCCCAAGTGCTGCAGATATAAGCCAGAGAATCAGTCCAACACTTCGTAATCAAGACCACAAACCATACAGCCTTTTCACTGAACAGGAGTAGAAGAATAAAAATATATCCTCCCATACAAACATTATTACAGAAAACTAGTTTTACACACTTGAAGATTGTATATAAGTACAGACTCCTCATTTCAGCGATATTTAGTCCCCAATTTTTCCTACAGTCCTGCAATGATTTCATGTAGTAGAGAAAAAAAAGGCAGGTGTGGTCAGTCAGACACCATTCCCCAAATGCAGCATCAGAACTTTAGGTTAGTGCAAAGAAGGTAAAAAACAGCCTTTCCCAAGACACAAAAATTAGTCAACACTTTAGGTATTGACATTTGTCTGGGTACTAGAATAATAAAAATTCATTTTCTAGGTGCCGAAAAAGCAATCCTAAAAATCATTCAAAGATAATAAGTCTGGAACCAAAAACACTTTTACAAATCAATTACATGAACAACATCAACATTGTGAGAGTTAACCAGAAATCAATTACTAAACATTTCATCAATATAACCATATGCGAGAGCAACGGCAAATGAAGAGGGCAGCATAACCAGACAATAAAGGTTATAACAACAGATCTGAGTTCATAAGCCACATAAACATACTGAGCAGGACAGGGTCAGTCCTTACCTCACAACTATGACTGTCTTACAACTATCCTGAAATTCAATGATCATGAGTGAAAGGCCAAAGACTGCATAATTTCCCTTACACCTTTCAATTATGCTTTGCCTGTAACTCGTTTCACTGTTTCCACAGTGAAGGTACTCTCTGTACATCAGGCTTTCACGTGACAGAGAGGACAAAATGCCATTTCTAAAAAGCAGAATGCAATTAAAACCACAGGGGATGGGGAACACAGGAGAAAGTGCTGCAGCTAAAAATACTTTCAGCTTTACCTAGTCAATTCTAAAACTGCTCATTGTTTGTCATTGGTTTCTGTTAAGCTCTGCTGTTTATATGATTGCAATACATGTATCCCCAGTAAGCACTGGAACTGCAAATGTAAAACAGTGCATATGTAAGAGCCTATTGCTCTCAGCAAATTTTAGACATTTGGAAACACGCTGCCAGCTGCAGCAGCCAACTTGTGGCACTCGAGAGAACATTCCTGAATCACCGACAGGGGGAAACTGAGGTGATTTTATAAGAGATCCTGAAATTAAAGGCATCAAGTAAGTCCCTGTCTTTGTAAACATGAAGAGAAATACAGATTTCTCTGCATTGGGTAGAGGTGTTAAATTTTCCACGATCACAAGGAAGAAAATACTGATACTCCTTAGTCAAGTTTATATAGCCATAGATTAATAATAGAGGAAAATTTAAGAGGTGTGCAAGAGGACCATCTATTTACTTAAAGTGCTCTCGATATATGCAAACAAATGGGAGTAGAAAAGACATCAAATGGTACAAGTGGCCAACATTAACTGCTGGAAAATTATTTGAAATAATTCTTACCCTGCCTAACTGATGCACATATTTCAGGTGCCACAGCTAGCAAGCAGGGCCAACGCTTCAGGATCCCCAGTGCTTAACTCTTTCCAACCCAAGCAGAGCTGCCTTCATATCCCCAGTCCCCACACTGCCATCACCTCTGAAGCCATGCTGACAGACTGGAGGGATTCAGTTGGACCAAAAGGACCACCAGGATGACTCTCTGCATCCTGGCTCCAAGCACAGGAGTTGGCACTGACATCCAAGCCTTGTGTGGATTCAGCACATGCATTCACATCAGCTGCATGCCTTGCCTGTAGCACATTTGCTTGACAGCTGATAATCCATGAGATGCAGTTTGACAACACTCAAAATATTTCAGCTTTGAAGATGTATTTTCAAACATTTTTACGATTAATGTGTCTCATAAAACTGATTTCTAATGCATTCAGGGTACTTAACATTACCTTAAGGAACAGGAGTCATTCTTCTCACTTATGCCCATCTACATCAATGACAGAAACTCTTGGTATCATTAAAGAGAACAAGTCTGTAGGTAGGACAGGCAAAGGTGACAACCTTGACTTGCACCAGTATCATCATTTCCTAAAAATCACCAACCAAATGAACTACAACAGCCACACACAAACCTGCTTAAAAAACAAATCCAACTCCTTGCACACAGGCTTTAATTTTGCCTGTCTCCACTAAATCAAGACGTGCATTGGTTCCATCTATGCCCCCAGCTGGCAGGCAGGAACAAGAAAAAGGGGACTGCAGGCTGTTTGTGTGTCTGTGTTCTCCAAGATACACAGTGAGAGGAAAAAAAAAATCTGCATTTATGTTTACCATGCCAAGGCAGCTGCAGAAATCCAAAGTGGCCCCTACATATGCTTTTCCAAATGACAGAGACAATTTCTGTTACTGTATTACTCAATAATTTAGCAGTTTGCAATACAAATATTCCCTGCCCTTCTGTCTCTTTACAGTATTAATTCCAAGTGTTTAGTAAGCACTGTTAGAGGTCTGGTGACAGATACCTTAAGGTGCCCCCATAAGTGTCTTTAAATACTGCATTCAATTAATTTAACAATCGATTCTTTTGGAAATATATATAACTACTGCTAGACACAATAAAAAATGGAATCCTTTTTTCTCTTTATGAAGAGAAAGACCCACACAAAACCCAGATAAAGGGACAGGACAGTTTTGTATGCAAGCAGAGAACTGGCTGACACCAGGTTTCCACAGCCAGAGCAGGGAAGGTTGTCACAGGAAGAGGCAGGGACTTTCAGAAGACAAACTCTTCTATAATCTGTCCCCTCAGGTGGCCCCAGCTAAACTGCAAACAAGGAAGAAAATCTAGAGCACCTGATGACAAATGGAAGCTGTATAACAGATGGGATCAAATTCATTCCTTACTTTCATATAATCGTGGCACTTCTTGACAGGGATATTTTAAAACAATCCTGGGATCACTTCTTCCACAGCCCCTGCTCTCAGACAGCTAATATATGCAATCACAAATCTGACAGTCTGAATGGGATAAAAAGCTATCTTCTCTCCTACTCAAAGCTTCTGTTTCAACAATAGAATACTCCCTGTATGCCAGGCAAGAAACAATCCAACTTCATGTAACAGCAGTATCTTATTCATGTGGTTTAGGATTTTGCTGTTAAGCTTGCCACACAGAACCAAAGATATATTCTGCAAAACAACACACCTTGCTCAACAAAGATATTTGTCAGGGGGAAGCTTTTAAGTCTGAACCCATGTTCCAACCTTGACAACAATAATCTCAGGCTGCCCAACACACAACCTACAACAGAAAATGCTGATTAACTAAACGCTGTATTTAAAGTCCAAGCAGAGCACAAAGAAAGCAAATTCTACAACAGTAAGGGGGGGGAGAATTTGAGCAAAAGAGACTTCGCAATTTTTACCATTACAAACAGTAATAAGGAAGAACCCAGATTATCAGATCAATCTAGAAAATGCTTTACTGGTTTGAAGATTAACATACATGCTAATGTACACTTGTATTTCCATATTATGTTACCAGAAACTCAGAATGACAGATTTTAAATGTTAGTAATACTCCACTATCACAGCAGTATGACAGCTGTCACACTGTTGCTGACATTTGGATCCTGGATGCTGATGCTATGGAACAGATAGAGAAAAAAACTTCAAAAACCTTCATAACATAGAGTCTCTTGCTTTCTTCAGGGTCTCAAATGTTTCTGTGAATAAACTTCTTGTATTTTTTTACCAAGTGATATGACACCAGATTAAAAAGTAACAATAAATTAAGTTGTAGGCATCCTTATCATTGAATTACATGGGAGAAAATTATAATGGAATTAAAATTTGATTTTATCGGCTACATAATGAATAGGTTAGAAACAACACTCTCTTGTTACAGACTCTCAATTCACCTTAACCCCACCTCGAATCAGAGCCCCAGCATCACAGCGCCGCACACAAACCTGCAGGATACACCCTACCCATGACAAATTTGGCACCGTATTCCCAATCCCTGGATTCCGCTGAACCCGCGGCATGTTCAGCCGCACTCGGGAGCACTGCGGATGTCCCTCCAGGAGCTCTCCCCTCCCGTTATCCGTGAGCACTGTCAATCCATCCCGCATCCCGGGGAGCCGCCCGCACCCGCACCGGGCACGAACCGGACCCACGGGGGGCAGGAGCCGCCGGGGCAGCCCGGGGCAGGGCGGCCGGTCCCCGGCGAGGGAGCAGCGGCCGCCGCTTCCCCCGCGCCCCGGGGCCCCTGCTCGGCGTGCGGGGGGAAGCGGCGGCGGGACGGGAGAAGTTGCGAAGCGCTGAGGAGCGGGGAGAGCAACAGCTGGAGCCGGGCGGGGAGCGGCGGCCCCGCGGGAACGGGGCGGGGGTCGCGCCGCCGGCGCCGAGGGAACGCGAGGGATGCAGCGGCGAGCGCCCCGCCCGGCCCCTCCCGCCCTCCCGGCACTCACCGAGCCGCCCCGCGATGCGGGACCGGGATCCGGAGCGGGACCGGGATCGGGAGCGGAGCCGGAGCCGCCGCCTCCCCCGCTCGGCCGGAGCAGCGACGGAGCGGCGCGCGCGGGTGGCGGGAGCGCGCCGGGAGCGCGCGCGGGCGGCGGGAGCGCGCGCGGGGAGGGGGGAGCGGGGGAGGGGGGGGAGCGGCCGCACAGCACCGCGGGCACCGGCCGTGCGGGCGGGCGTGCGCTGACCCGGATGTACCGGGGGGGGCGGGGGGGGGGGGGGGGGCGGCCAGCGGCAGGTGACTGCGCAAGCGCGCCCGGCCGCCAGCGCACTGCGCATGCACCTGCTTCGACTCCCAGTGTCTCGGGCACGGGCGGGGGAGCGAAAGAGAGGCGGGCGGGCGGGTGAGGCGGCGAGTGGGGCAGCCCCTTAAAGGGGCCGCGGGGTTCCCGCAGCCCCGGGCACAGCTCATTAACTCAATCAGCGTTCGCCATCGGTGCTTGAGCAGCCGTGCGGGTCCGGGGCTTCTCTGGGGCCGGGCTCGGGCATTGAAGTGTCTGCAGCTGGCAAAGGCAGGCTGGGAAGGGAGATGGGGTGCTCCTTGTGTGGGAAAAGTGGGGCTGATGATTCAAAGCCGTTCAGAAATGTCTTCCCAGGTGGATCAAAGCAAAAATAAATAATTGTAAAAAATGTGGAAAGTTCCATTCGTCAGTGAGCACTGCCAGAACCCCATACCATTGCACTCAGGCTGATCCAGGAATGCCTTCCACCTCCATCCTCGCGAAAATGCAAAAGACATGCAAAATATGTTTAAAAATCACAAAAAAAAAAAAAAAAACCCACATGGGGTTATGGGATCATTTATCCTGGAGAAAAGGAACTTCGGGAGGTACCTTATGGCTTTCTACAGCTCCCTGACAGGTCTCTTCTCCCAAGTGACAGAGACAGGACAAGAGGAAATGGCCCCAAGTTGCACTAGGGAAGGTTTAGATTGGATATGAGGGAAAAGATTCCTCTTAGAAAGAGTTGTCAAGCATTGGGACAGGCTGCGCATAAAAGTGGTGGAGTCGCCATCACTGGAGGAGTTTGACATACACGTAAATGTAGCACTTAGGGTTGTGGTTTAGTGGTGACTTTGCTATGGGTTTATGAATGGGCTCAATGGTCTGAAAGGTCTTCTCCAGCATTAATGATTCTAAATGACTCCAAACACAAAAACATATTTTAAGAACGTCCCATAGACTTAATTATGGGCTTTCTGTGCAGGGTCAGGATTTAGACTCAATCTTCCTTGTGGGTCTCTTCCAACTCAGCATATTCTGTGATTCTCTGATTTTATGAAGGTTTCACCTTCTATATCTCACCCTGGATTTTGGTATCCTCACACAGGGACAAAGCACACGCTGAACTGCTTCTCCTCTGTGCATAAATTTGCCAAAGCAGAGGGATTGCACAATTACCTAGTTTCAGGGCTTGCTGCTTCAGTAAAATTCCACGTAGACCTACTTAGAAAGAAAACAATTAAAAGTTCTGCTGGTTTTGTTTTGCCTTTGTTTTGCTTTGGTTTTTGTTTGTTTGTTTGTTTGTGTTTTTTTTTCCTTGAAGTAGCCTGGAATCTAGACAATGCTTGTCTAAATTTTGCCATGCAGTCCCCCCTGGCCTCCTCACTGAGCTGTTCTAACACCAAGGGCAGTTCACAGCTCGTTCAGTGAGGCTGCACCGGGAGTGGTTCAGAGACCAGCAGCAGCCAGGCAGTGCAAAACGTGCACCTTCCAATAGTAAAACATCGACACAGCTCTAATCAAAGGGTATTTCTCAGTCTAAAAGAGACAAACCAACCACTCCAACCACTTCTACTAGTTCCTCTTCAAAGCCTGATAGCAGTTTGTTAAGTGACAAATATAGTGAATATCAGGTACTTCTAAACCCACTGAGAAAGCACAAAAATGGAAAATAGCTCAGAGATTTATTTATATGTCAATGTATTTCTCTTTTTATTATTATATCTATGTGTATGTTGACTTAATCTGATAAACTTAGTTTGTCTTTAACTTATTAGGATTCAAGATATATAGATTAATTATAATAACTTTAAAGTGTTCTAGCTAAAAGAGTATCCTGGGATATGAAGGAAACCATTTGTGAGTATAGTTCAGCTGCAAAACCTGTTTGGTGAATTCAAAGGAAATCACCACACTTGAGTTTTGGTCCTTGGGTAGCAGTCAGGCAAGACCAGGGCTGGTGCACCACATACCTTCAGCTAAGCAGGGAGAAGGGAGTGCTCAGACAAGCTCTGGAGGCTCTGAGAGGTTTGTACTGGAGCAAACAGAGGAGATGTTGAAGAAGAGATGAAAAAAGATTTTCACAGCAGCACCTTCAGCAGAATGACGGACACAGTTCTGCTGTGTGCGATTTGTGTAGTGGCTGAACAAATGCTTGACATGGCTTTTCACTTCTGCCACAGAAAGGATTTTTTTGCAGTGGATACAAATTTTGAGGTGTGAATCGATGCACACTCCTTCCTGAGATGAGGCACCACATCCTCATCTTCTCTAAAGTCTGCAGGGCTTTACAGGTCTGTGTGCCACGCAGGAGGTGACCCAGGTTCCACTGAACTGCATTCAAGGGAAGCAGGATTGTGCTCTGAGTTAATGTTGGACTTGTTACCATTTGGGCTTAATAGAAACCAGGAGTCTTACCTGTTGTACTATAGAGCTTTGTCCTTCTGCACAGAGCTAAAGAGCTACACACAAGCAGCCTCAGGGATGAGCAGTTGTTGTTCCTCATAACATTAAAAAGCACTTGGGGCTTGGCAGCGTGGGGTTGGACAAAGAAAATTCCCTACTGAAACCATGAGCAGGTTTCTCATAATATATAGTCCTCAGTGTTCTTCAAAATTGTAAGATACCTTTGATTTGGATCTCACATCTTTCACAAGTACAAGAATGCCCAGATGCTGAGTGTCGCTGATGCTTAACAGCAGTTGCACACTAAGACATCCACATCCCACATGATAATTGAAGCATAAAAAATCATTGAACGCTGTGGAAAATGCTGCATGACTGAAAAACCCAGCAATTTTCTATTAGTTCTGCCTTCTCTTTTAATTTCTTAATTGCTTCTTCTGAATGCAAAATTATTTTATCAGGTTATCACTGCAATAAATTTAAAACTCTCTCCAAAAAAACAAACCCCCAAAACAACAACAATAAAACAGAATTAAAGACTATATTTTTTGGTTAGTATCATAGAATAAAAGAGTGGTAACAGACCTGTTCCTATTCTGCTAAATGCCTGAGGATTTTGTTAGTTGGTACCAGGTAGGTATGTCTGACAGGAAAGAAAACAGGTCAGAGCATTTTCATTAAGAAGAGATTAATAAGCTCTAAAGTTACTCTGGGATGTATTTGTATTGCGTATCTGTGGGTATGTACCAGTGACAAAAGATGACTTGACTTTATATACGGATGGCCAGATGGATAAATAAAGCCACAGGAGCAAAGCTGCCCTTAGGTGCCAGGCACTGTTGGAATATTTGGGTTGCTTTTCAACCTAATGGTAGCCTAGAGGAGAGAGTCCAGAGGGAAAAAGAAGTGACCATCACCCTGGCCATGTGTGCTCAGCAGGGACAATAGAGTGCCCTGACCACTGACAGCAGCCCTGTTTGTTCTGGGGGGGAGGACAGCAATAGCTCTTCCATTACATGGATGAAAATAGAAAGGAAACATCCTATGGCTAAAGATTATTCTTTTAAAGAAATGGTTAAAGACAAAACTTCTTATGGAAAATGTGAAGAATGGAAGAAATGCAGCTTTGCAGGGCTCCTTGTTAGGGTTGTGGCTCATAGCACCTTTCAGTTCAGATAAAACCAACATCAGGTTTTGCCCTCCCCTGCCCAGATTTCCCCACATTCTCAAGTGGCACAGTAGTAGATGAGAGAGTGCAGAGGCAGTCACATTTATACCACAGAGTCCTCCAGGGCTTTCACTTAGATAGCACAAATCCTCTGATATGAATGTTGCTCTTCAGAATATAAACAGTTTTGTAAACAGTAACAAAATGTGAACGATCTATATAAATTTCCAGAAACGCAGACAAAACAAAAAGCCAAGATCAAATCACTTCATAAGGATCCCTGAAGTGCTTCCAGATACTGTCATGCCAGAGTTAGAATGTTTTATACCTGCATGGACACAGGCACTCACAGTCTCAGAATGCCTCCCCTCCCCCCCTTCAAAAAAAGGTCATTTGGATATTTGGGTGGCAAGTGAGAAAACTGAAATGCTTCTGGAGTTCAGTCTTTTTACCCTGACAGACCTGGTGAAATCCTGTCATTTCCTCATGCTATGCCCCAGTCACTTCACGTGACTAATTGCATCAGACATCTCCTCTTCTGCCATTACAAGGTCCAAGATTATTTCAGAGTTTGCTCATCTGGTGATGCAGTTGTTCCTCCTATGATCAGCATGGCCCCTTCATGTGGGGAGCCTCAGCTAAAACACACAGCAGGATCTCAATTAATGAACACTTCTTTAAGTCAAATAAAACAGAGAGGTTCAGTGCCATGTCAGCTGGACTGTGATTGAGAATAATGGAGATTTTACAAAATAAAGCTCTTTTTTTCACATTTTGACATTTTGCTGCCTTACCTCAAAAATGTAGCTCATCTATATGAGAGACAGGGAAGAAAAATGAAGGAAAAAGAGAAAATGTCAGGTGTTAAGCCTGCATTAGAAGAAGATTACAGACCAGTAAGCATAGAGGAAGGTGGAAAGAGGAACTGCAGCTATTTTAATCATGTTTTATCTCTACTGGAAAATAGAAAGATAAATTACAGTAGTAGACCTGCTGCAGAATAGAGCAGAACACAGTATTAGACTCTGAGATCTTTAAGCTGCTTATAAAAGTTTGTGAAATACAGAATTTCTCCAGTGATCTCACATGGACTCCATTGCACTGACAAGCCTTTGAGTGGCTGCAGTGTTGAACCTGTGCTGGTAGCACACTGGCAAGGGAAGAGGCCTGCAAAGCACCTGAGATAATCCAGCATCACCAAGTTTAGGAGGTCATGGCCACAGACTGCACTTCTGAACTTGCAGCACTCAGTGGAGGAAAAGGCCCAGAT